GGAGTTCAAAGCCGACCTCTCAGGCGCTGCGCTACAGTGTTACCATGTGATTCACTTAATGAACTTTTGCGAAGTAAAAGTGGTCATACCTATTTCCTATCACAAAAAGAATTTTTATTTGCAGTGAGGACTACCATCTATTTATTTCTTTTTCTAAAGCCATTGAAGGTCAGTTCTGTTCGAAGTTTTTCCATTTCAAAGTTTAAAGTCTTGGTGAGTCAATCCCAGAATGAACATAAGCGAGTAATTAGTGGGAAATTTGGTCTCTTGTTGTTAATCGATACTTCCTGATCATTTTTTGTTAAAAGTTTGTGGCAAACCCTATCATTTATAGCGTTTACACGTATGCTGCTGGATGGATTTCTGTATAGTGCGTACAAGTAATAAATAGCATGGGTTAAAAATAGAGTAGCATCAACCAAAATGTTTCGCAAATTATTTGCCAAAGTAATAAGCATTCACAAAAGGTTGATTCGTTCTTTCATTACCGGATCGCGCTTATATTAAAAGCCCATTCTTGTTACTTCTTTCATATCATCATTTTATACCGGAGTTTTGACGTTTATCAAAAATGGCTATTGCTTTTGATCCCATAGTTGGCAGCACGAAAGCACAAAGCCATCTTTGTTTTTTCTATTCAGCGTCTCAACTTTCGGCTGAACTGCCATCTTTGATCATCAGAATTCTGCTAGATACGGACTCAGAGAAATTAACTGCTTCCTTGCATAGACGTAACGGTACCGGTATTATGTCCAGAAGGTGAAACAATATTGAAATTATTCCAGGGGCATAAATTTTTATGCGAATTTAATGTTTTCAATTCTCATAGTCTGAAATTATTTCTTTGTAGTGTACTGTACAAATTCCTCAACCCATTCCCGATTACGCCAATGATAATTGCTGAATTACCTTCGAGTGTGAAATAAGTTGATTTAGGGTCACTGAAAGAGCCGAACCTGGTAAAGTTTCAGAGGACAGTGATGTCCAATTGTCTGATGATGATGTCAGCGAAGAAGGCAGAGGAGCCAGCGAAAGCGAACGCACCAGGTTAGTGGTGCATTGCATTTATATGAATCGCATAAAAACCACCTTTCTTCATCAGTCATTTTTGTTTATTCAGCCTTATAAAAAATTAATCTCTTCGGTGATGGAGACTACTTTGTTGAATGCCACAGCCAGGAGCAGTCGCAGTAAGACTTGTCTGAAGACAACACAGAAAGGATCTTAATATCTCTGTAGATGAAATCACACAAGTTGTTAAAAGCTTGAAAAGTGGAAAGGCTGCTAGAATTGATGAAATCCGACAATAACGACAGGCGAACAAGGGATGTGCTAGCTTAGACGTGTCTGTCAAGCTGCAGTTGCTACGGAAAAGACACCAACGGACTGGAGAACGGCAGTTGTAGTTCCGCTGTTCAAGAGGATAGCCCATACGGAGTGCTTCCATTCTCAGGACATTGCCTTATTTAGCCTTTCGGG